CACACACACACACACACACACACACACACACACACACACACGGTCCCTAGCCCACGTTTTTATCTCCTCTGCTTCTCACTTACTCTAAGAATGGTCAGCAAGGAATTCGGACCCAAACCAGAAAGAAGCCTGCCTTACATGCTTCTCATCCTACTCCAAGGTGCTTTGCTCCCGCGGTGGAGACAGCAAGGCTGTGGCTGTTGCCTGGTCACTCTGACTAGGGGTTGGCAGTACATGTGGCTGACTCACCAGTGTCGCCCTTAACATTTCCATCCATGCCATTTACCTGTAACAAAGGAAAAGAGTATTATGAAGGCCCCGCCACGTGTTGGGTCCTGGACCCAGGCTCCAGGCATCCATCCACTGCAGCTTTGCTCCTGAGCAGACCTTCTCAACCTTTGGGTCCCAAACAACACTGTCACAGGGGTCACATATCACATAGCCTGCACATCAGATATTTATATTACAATTCGTAACAGTAACAAAATTACAGTTATGAAGGAACAACGAAACAATTTTATGGTTGGGGGTCACCACAACATGAGGAACTTTATTAAAGGGTCGTGGCATTGAGAGACTGCTCTTGAGAGACACATAGACAAACAGAAACCCTTGTGAATCTGCCTAACAAAACAGCCAGTTACTGGCAAGAGAATTGAAGCTCACACACACCCTGACTGTTCTCAGTTCTGTTTCTTGACAACCATGAGACAATGTGTTGTTTAATTTGGGGAGGGGGGCTCCATTTCCATACCCGTGGGACTGAGAGGTTGAGCGTAAATATTTCTAAGTCACTTGAGCATGCTTTATGAGTCATAGATTGCTAGACAAGAACAAGTTAGCATATAAATCTGATCCCATTTAAAAATTTCTCATAGTGTTAATGTCTCATAGTTTTATTTTATTTAACAGTTTTATTACCCCCAAGCTTTACTGAAGTATTGTTTACACCCTGAAAAGCACATGAGTCTGCACTATGTTGAGTTTTCACACTAAACAAAGTAGCAGGCAGGCAGAGGTGAGATCTCTGTTTCTTCCAGGCTCTTGCTATACCCTAGGTTTCACACCATCTTGACTGTAAGAGCACAATTAATTTAAACTTTTACACATGCTTTAAATGGAATCAGGTACTACATCCTCTTTTGTCCTTGGCTTCTGTCACTGAACAGTCATGTTTTACATATGGCTTACAGCGTTCCATCAAGTCCTTTCGCGAAAATTTTTATGTATGCTACAGTTGATGGACTCTTGGGAACTTGCCTGTTGAGAGACTGTAACAAATAGTGCCTCTCTTGTCATTTTTGTGTTCATCCTTCATTCATTTTCATGTGTGCTAGACTGAAGATAATGTTTACCATCTCCTTTTTTGTCCCTTTCTCGTAAATCCGGATTTGTACACATGCTTGTGCTTGAGTGGGGCAGTCACATTCCCTTCCGGGTTAGAGTGGGTGTGCTGGATGGTTTATGTCAACTTGATGCAAGCTAGAGCCATCAGAGAGGAAGGAGCCTCAGTTGAAGAATGTCTCCATGAGATCGAGCTGTAGGCAAGTCTGCAGGGCATTTTCTTATTTGGTTTTTAATGGGGGCAGTCCAAACACAGTGGGTGGGGCCATCCCTAGGCTTGTGGACCTGGGTTCTGTAAGAAAGCAGGCTAGACAAGCTATGAGGAGCAAGCCAGTAAGCAGCACTCCTCCACGGCCTCTGCATCAGCTCCTCCATTCAAGTTCCTACCCTGTTTGAGTTTCCGTCTTGATTTCCCATAAACTAAATAAACCCTTTCCTGGTATTATGGTCATGGTGTCTCATCACAGCAGTAGTAACCCCAGCTAAGACAGTGGATGTGAAGATACTTGGGAAAGTTAGGGTTATCAGAATTTTACCAGGCTCTGAATGGGTTTCCTCTAGCAGGTGTGTACCTATCTTTTGTTCCCGACCAGAAACGGGAACCTTGTTCACATGGATTAGTTCTACTTCCAAAATCAATCTGGCAAATCACTGAATTAAAATAAACGTGTCTTTTCTTTGCCTTGTTAGTGCCACATCTTGTGGCAATATATTTGAGAAAAGCAACTATAATTGGTTTATTTTGGTTTATGGTTTGAGAGGTTTCAGTCCATTGCTTTGGGCCTGAGGTGTGATA